CCTGAAGTTCCCCACCAATGGCGGCATCGGCTACGCTAGAGGAAACCAAAGGATAGCCAGGGCATGCTACCTCAAGCTAACAAGGTCGGCCGAGAGGGAAGGGCAGAGAATAGACACCATTACGGCAGTCGTTGCCAAGGACGAGGAAAGACTGCACGCCGAACCGGCCGAGGAGGTCGAGGAAGTCCCTCTGGATACCTCCCGGCCGGAGCGGGTCCTCAAAATCGGGAAGCAGCTCCCACAGGACCAGCGGGATGCCATCCTCCTCGTCCTACGGGCATACGCCGTCATCTTCATGTGGGGCCCGGACGACATGCCAGGCATCAGTCGGAAGGTGATCACCCACCGGTTGACCGTCGATCCAGCCTCCGCGCCTGTCAAGCAGAAGCGGCGCTACTTATCCGCCGACAGGCGGGACTTCGTCAAAGAGGAGGTCGCCATGCTCCTCTCAATCAACCACATCAAGGAGGTGAAGTACCCGACGTGGCTATCCAACGTCGTCCTCGCCCAAAAACCGCCGACATTCAGTATGTGTGTTGATTACACTGACCTGAACAAGGCGTGCCCCATGGACCCGTTCCCTCTCCCCAACATTGATCAGTTGGTGGACAGACGGCGGGATGCGAGTTGATGTCGTTCCTTGATGCCTTCAGAGGGTACCACCAGATTTTCATGCATGAAGATGACGTTGAGGAGACGGCCTTCATGACCCCGGAGGGAATCTTTTGTTACCTCGTCATGGCTTTCGGGCTCAAAAACTCCGGCGCCACCTATACCAGGATGGTGGCCAAGATCTTCAGAGCAGTCCTCGGCCGGACGATGGAGGCATACGTCAATGACATGATTGTCAAGAGCAGGCAAGCCGCCACACATGCTGACGACCTCCGGGAAATTTTTGAAATCATGAAGGAGTTCAAACTCCGCCTCAACCCCAAGAAGTGTGCCTTTGGCGTCGAAGGCGACAAGTTCCTCGGCTACATGGTCAGCCGAAGAGGCATTGAAATAAATCTGGAGAAGATATAAGCTATCATCAATATGGAGCCGCCCCGCAACGTCAAGGAGGTACAACGGTTGACAGGGCGACTGGCGGCCCTGAGCCGTTTCCTCTCCAAATCAGCCGAGAGGTCACTCCCTTTCTTCCAGATCATGCGCAAAGCAAACAGCTTCAGATGGACGACGGAGTGCCAGGAAGCATTTGAAGAACTGAAGAGGTACCTTTCATCCCCACCAGTGCTCTCCAAGCCCAAAACCGGAGAAACTCTCTTCTTGTACTTGGGGGTGAGCACGTCGGCCTTCAGCTCCATGCTCATCCGTGAGGACGAAGGGGTGTAGAAGGCCATTTTCTACATCAGCAAGACACTTATGGAGGCCGAGCTCAGGTACTCCCCCATTGAGAAGACGGTGCTAGCCATCGTCCATACGGTGAAAAAGCTGAGCCACTACATCCAGGCCCATGCCGTCCACGTACTGACCCAGCAGCCCCTTGGCGCACTCATGAGGAGCCCCACTAGCTCCTCAAGGATGGTGAAATGGGCGATCTTCCTCAACCAATTTCAGATTGAGATCAAGCCAAGGCCATCTATCAAAGGGCAAGCCTTGGCCGACTTCGTCACCGAATGCACGGCAAGGGAGACAACCGCTACCACCCCCGGGCCAGAGCCTGATGACACATGAATCCTCTTCACCGACGGCTCGTCGGCCGCGAAGTCATGCGGCGGCGGCGGCGGCCTCATATCCCCAGAAGGATTCAGAGCTTACTATGCCATCCGCTTCAACTTCAGGGTATCCAACAATGAAGGTGAGTATGAGGCCCTCCTCAGCGGCCTTAGACTCGCCGCCGGCCTCAAAGCCAGGCACATCAAAATCAGGTGCGACTCCAAGCTGGTAGTGGGCCAGGTTGAGGGTACATACGAAGCAAAGGAAGGCCGGATGAAGCAATACAAGCAGGCGACAGAGGAGTTGCTGAAGGCGTTCGAAACCTACGAGATCACACAGATCCCAAGGGCCGAGAACGCCGAGGCCGACATCCTCTCCAAGCTCAGCTCGGACACTCCGGAACACATCTCCAAGCTAGCCAAGATCGAGGAGCTGAGCATGTCCAGCATCCATGCCAGCCCCATCTTGTGCATCCAACAGCGACCGGAGGACTGGATCTCTGACATCGCCACTTTCATCATGACAGGGGAGCTACCCCAGGACGAGGAGAGGGCCAAGCTCAGGGCCCCAAGCTACACTATTGAAGATGGCAAACTCTACAAACGATCCTATAATGGTACTCTCCTCCGGTGCCTACACCAGGACGAGGCCGATGTGGCCATGGAAGAAGTTCACTGTGGTGTTTGCTCCTCACACCAGGGCCCCTTCAGTATGTCCCGGCGTCTCGTCGTCCAGGGCTATTTCTGGCCGACGATGGCGCGGGATTATGCGGATCTAGCCAGGAAATGCACCACGTGCCAGGTGCTCCAGAAGGCCCTGGTCGACCAGCCGTCAACTACGCCCCCGTCAGCACTGCCATTCCATTCTCGAGATGGGGGATTGACCTAGTCGGCCCCCTACCCAGAGCTGTTGGCAACAACCGCTACATCATCGTCGCAGTCGACTACTTCACCAAGTGGGTCGAAGCGGAACCTTTGGCCAGCATCATGGGGGCTAGGTGTCAGAAGTTCGTCCACAAGAACATTCTCACCCGTTTTGGTGTCCCCAAGAGATCATATCCGACAATGGCACCCAGTTCGAAGCGGCACCCTTTCAGGAGCTCCTTCGAGAGTGGGGTATAAAGCACCATTTCTCCTCCGTTGCCTACCCTCAAGGCAACGGGCAGGTTGAGAACGCCAACAGAACTATAATGGAGGGGCTGAAGAAGAACCTACAGGACGCAGGAGGGAGTTGGGTCGACGAGCTCCCCAACATCCTGTGGTGCTATCGTACTACACCGAGGAGGGCAACGGGTGAAACACCTTTTACCCTGTGCTATGGCTTTGAAGCAAAGGCACCCACGGAAGTCACCATTCCCAGCCGACGGGTGGAGCAGTATGACCCGGAGGTCAACGAGGAAAACATAAAAAATCGACCTCCACCTGGTCGATGAAAGACGTAAACAGGCATTCATCCGAGCAGAGAACTACCGGCGTCAAGTGAAATCATACTATGACGCCAAGGTACGTTCCCGAGAATTCCAAGTGGGGGACTACGTCCTCCGCCGAAGGGAAGCAAGTAAGCCGACGGAAGGAGGCAATCTAGCTTTGAAGTATGAAGGTCCCTACATCGTCACTGCCGTGGTGAAACCCGTCACCTACAAGCTTAAACGCCCAAACGAGACCAATGTACCACGAACGTGGAATGTACACCATTTGGTGAAGTTTTATCAATTATCCGAAGGAGGTGCAGCCGGCGAAGCCCTCACCCTTTGACGGGTTATTGATTGAACACCACACTCGGCCTTGAGCCACTTTTGAATAAAAATCATGTTTCCTTTGATTTCTTGGAATTCAAGTAGCACATTAACAGGCGCCCTCATCGGCCACCTCAGAGATAAAGGCTCAGGCACGGCCGATGTGGCGCTTCACATCTGCACCCTTAGAGCGAAAAGCTCAGGTATGCCCCATTGTATTTTGTATCTGCGAAAGGTTTAGGCCCAGCTGAAAGAGCACGTCGTACCGGCCCCTCAGAGCAAATCACTCAGGTAGGGCCGACGATGTCCCCAGGACGATGGGCCCGCAAACGGCCCGCGTCTTGAAACGTGAAGTTCACTGCGTCGTCCACGCGCCTGATCGCAGGACGACAGGCCTGAAATCATGGCCTAGGTGACAAAATCCCCAAACTGAGGGATGGGCAACGACAGCCGTTGGAAACCAACCAAAAGTCTAGCCCGCGTCATAAATAGGCGACGGGACCCCCCTTGAAATCATGGACGTTATAAACGAAGTCCAAACCGGTCGGAGGACTATCGACCCCTTCGGCCGAAGCCTGAAAGAAGGACACTCCCCGAAATAGGGAACAAAAAAAAGGGAAGTCGAGGACTGCGCGCACTTGCCGGCCTCGAGCAGTAAAAATAAATCCCCACAAATCAGCCACATTTGGCTAAGTACATATCAGTTGAATACAAAGGTAACATTACCAACAGGTAACGCGGACGAAGCGGCCACCCACTACGAGGAAAGTGTCAAGGACGGAGCATGCGCCCACAAAATCCTAACCAAAGTGGTTGGTGAAACGAGGGTGGTAACCTTCATCGGCCATGACCACCTGAAGTGCCAACACTTAGCATGAAAACAGAGAATCATAGCCCGACACTTAACGCAATCCTGGAGTGGAACACCGGAAAGGAGGTCTAGGACGAAACGGGCACTAAAACACCCGCAGGAAATTGAACACACTGATGGCAACCCGTGCCAGCCGATAAGGGTGCTAAAATCCAGGCGTTTGCCTACGCCGGAAATTTCTGAAGAAAATTACCTAAGTGATTCCCAAACACTTAGAGAAAATTTTTGAAAAAAGTTCCCTGAGTGAATTCCAACACTTAGAGAAAGTTCTGAAGAAAGCAAATGCAAAGGGGAAGGCAAAACACCCGGATGCCTTCATCGGCCACATTGCCCAACTAGGCCGACGACGACACTAAGCAGGAAAAACTACATGGCCTAACACTTGGGCAATCTCCTCAACGAAGGGACAGCCTTGAGATGAAGCGGGCACTCAAATACCTGCAGGAGCCCGCCTCGGCCGACGGGATCATCACGTGAAGTATTGATTCAACACTTAGGATATTTTCAAAGTTTCGGGCAAGAGTGAAAGGGGGCGTAATACCAAGACGACGCCAACACCCACTCATTTAAAGCCTTGGTACTTAGAAAATTTTCTAAGTCCCATTTCCAGCACTTGGACAAAATTCCACAAAAAAACAAACTTGAAAACAGGAGTAAAGGAAGAAAGATGACGGACAGACATGATGAGGCAAAAGCATACTTCATTAATAATAACTTGTCACACGAGGAGGGCTCAACGGCCATTACAAAAGGGGCGTCACAAAGGCCTAACCAAAATACAAAAAGATTATACAAAGAGATTATGCAACCGATCAACTCCCAGGAACGGTCTCATCGGCCACCTGCTCCGCTTCGACCTCCTCCGTCCTGGCACCATCACCGGCCTCGCCTGCTGAGGAGACGGCAGTATCGGTCATGGCCTCATCGTCAGAATAGACGGGCGAACCAATAGAAGAGCTGAGCATTGGATCTTGCCTCTGAGATGGAGGGAGTTTCGCTTCGGCCTCAGGATCCTTCATCAGCCGGGGAAGCTTCAGGTTCTTTTTGGCCCATTTCTTGGTGAACTTCAGCTTCTTGAACGCCCGGTGCAGCCTCCGGTATAGTAGCCGCTGCATCCTCTGCTGGCCCATATCATAGTAGACAACCATCTCCCGAGCAAAGTATGCTTGGTCAGTAGGGCAGTTCTGGCCCCAATCTTCGAGCCGGTCCGCCACGACTTCGTAGCACCAGGGCCGGTGGTCATCGGCCTTCCAGCCATCGGCCAGGAACCTCTCGATGGCACCATCAACGGCCTTCTCTGCGGCCCTCTCAGATTCAGCCTGAGCCCTGGCGGCGTCTTCGGCCCGAAGCAGGGCCTCATCACGGCTTCGAAGGGCTTCATCCCTAGCCCTCAAAGCGTCATCCCGGTCAGCCGCTACCTGCCGGTAGGCCACATCGGCCTCATCAACGCCCTTCTGGAGGGCCTTCGCTTCCTCCCTAAGCCGGTCTAGGCAGGCCATGGCCTCCTCAGCCGAGGCAGCTTTCTTCTCAGCCTCCCGCAGGCGAGCAATCTCCTGCTCTTGCCATTTGTGGCTCTCCATCAGCATGAGAGCGCCCTGCAACAAAACAAAAAAGGAAATGAGAAAATGAGGACGATGCAAAACCCATGGCACAAAAGACGTAAAGTACGAGGAACTTACTTGGACGATGAGGTCCATGCCGCCATCGTAAATCCTGATGGCACCCAGCTTCTTCAGATAAGCCCGATCCTCGACCGGGACAGTCTGGGCCAGGACTTCATGGTCGTCAATGGCGTCATTGAAGACGCCACCCTTCACGGGATACTCGATCTCGAGCTTGTAGGTCCCGCCGACTAGCTCCTTGCCGGCCCTTTGCTTCCGGGGCTCTTGGCCGGTAGGCGGCGGCTGAGATAGAATCGCCGAGGAAGGAACCGAAATCGCGCCCACAACGGCAATGGCGCTAGAACCCCCGACATCGTCGTCCGACATGACCACGCCCCCGGCACCAGCATCGGCCGAAGGGGAAGCCCTCCTCGACTTCTTGGCCTGCATACCGACCTCAGTAAGCTTTTTCTGGCCATCATCAGCAGGCCGCTTCTTCTTCGACTGGGTTGGCGGTTTCTTCACCGCATCAGCATTTGATGTAACGCCGCTCGCAGCGGCCACCCTTGCGGCCTCCTTTACGGCCATTTCCTCTTTCGCCTTAGCTTTTGCTAGGGCCATGACGGACCTGTGATCCATAGCGAAGTCTGCACAACAAGGAAAACAAACAGTTAGCAAAACATAAAAGAAAACATAGACGAAGACGCCAGGGAAGGTATTACCATCGGCATCAGCAGGAATGCCCATATCCGAGCCGTCGGCCTCCTCAAATGTCGTGGTCATCTTCGGCCATAACTCGAGATCACCTTCCTTGTCACCATAAACATGGTACCTCATGAAGCCGAGGGTGGTCATTTTGTATTCCGTGATGTAATGTTTCACGCTCCTCGGCCCACCTTTCAGAAACGCCGCCACCTGGGCATCCAGAATACTGCTCTTCGGCACGTCATGCAGGGTGAACTTACCGTCATGACCAACCGAAGGAAACTCCGTGTCGTCCTCACCAAAGGACACGAAGACGAGCTTGCTCTTCCATCCGTGAATAGACGAAGGGAGATCAGTGAATCTCCTCTTCTTCGGCAACTGCTGGAGATTGGCGTAGCCAGCACAGTTCTTGTGGCTCCCTCGGCCAATCTGATACAGGTTCATAAATAGTGTCATCGTCGGCCTAAAATCAAGCTCATCGCAGCAGAGAAGGAAGCTGATGATGAGCGAATAGCTGTTGGGAGTCAGCAAGGTCGGAGGGAGCCCCACCATATCCAGATATTCCGTGATGAAAGGGTGAAGGGGAAACCTAAGTCCCTTTGTGAAGCTCATGGGGTATACTCCAAAATACCTTGGAGGTGGATTCAACACGTGATCCGTCGGCTAGGGCGCCCTAACCCGCCCATACGGCCTCACGTACATCTGGGCCACCAGGTAGTCGGCCGCACTACTCTCCGGCTTAATCAGATAAAGATTGCTGAGATCCAGGTAAGAGAAACCTGGACCCCTCTTCGGCCGCCGCCTTCTTATCGAAGCAGCTCCCTTCACAACAGAAACCGGCTTTGGGCAGGGGATCGCAGTCGATGTAGACGCTCCGTCCACAACACGTGAAGCCCCTATTTCTTCACCATCAGACGAGGAGGCAGTCTCTTCGTCCTCACCCTCACCCTCCCCGGACTTGAAGGAGCTCAACTCCTCTATCTCCTCACAACACTCCTCTACCACCCGGTAATCAAGGGACCTAGCAGAGGGCTCATCGTCGTACGGGTAGTACTCATCGTCCAAGGGCTTCATTATAACAGTTAACTAGAGCCTAGATGTTTCTACTTTGGATCTGAACGTCTATCTCCACTAACAAGGGATCAATGGCCTAGGAAGCGAAATAGGCAAATTACAGAGGGAAGTTTCAATGAACTAACCTTTGAGGCTTGATGAACACGAAGAACACTGACAAGAACTTTATCTCTCTAGAAAATTCAGCAGCACTTCGTTATCTCAGGAATGCAATGAGGAAACCTCTTCGGAGGGGGCGGGGGGTATTTATAGGCCTCCCCCCAACGGTCACTACACGTGGCAACTTCCCATTGGCCACATGAACGGCCACCACCCTCAAGGCCCATTGGGCTGGGCACCGGTTCAGAAGTCGGGTCAGGCCCACTTCCACAACACCATCTCACCACTAACGAGCCAACCACTCAACGGCCACACTAATAGAGCGTGCCCGTATCAGCCTCAACACAGAGATGCTTCAAATGGATAGATCACATTTCAAGGCAAGTCGACATCGGCTTGAACACAATACCAATCGCATGGCTTTCGTAACGGCCACACCAGTAAAACCACCAAGAAAACCCCACACCATCGACCCTGTATAAAACCCTGATGATAATTTCTTGAAAGCGACCTGCGTCCAAGGGTTCTCCCACAGGGTTACCTTGACCAGGAAATCGCCAAGGAATTGGATTCAGGTGTATACAAGAGTCCGCTTTGGCCTGGGCACATCCTTTACTCCTTCACCCCTCACCTACTCTTCGGCCTGAAGCAATGGGGGACTGGGGGACTACACCGGCCTTTGCAAACCAGGACAAAATCAAAGAAATCCAAAAATATACCAAGTCCACAACTACAACATTAGACATGCATCACAACGTCCATAACATCATGGTGCACCATCGCCCGCAACAAAGCTAGCAAACAAAGAATTCCCTCCCAGATCACTGATCAGTACTGTCATCGTCTGTAAGGAATATTTGTAATTAGATTTTGATGATGCTAGATTAATTAGGACTTTAGAGTACCCCTCTTTAGACTTAATGTATTAGAATTTTCCTTTGTAAAATTCCTTAGCATAATCGACTTAGCAGAAAGCCTCCAGAGCAGAAGATCTACAAAGCAGAAGGCCTCCAAGAGCAGAAGACCCTTGATAAGGCATTAGTTGAACAGAAGACCTTTGGTTCTCTGCTTCAGAACAGAAGACCTCAGGGTCTCTGTTAGCCTTTACTCTGACGGAAACCCTCCTGGTTCTCTGTTAGATATACTCTCAACAGAAGTGCTCCAGACCTTCTCTGATCAACTCTCAGTTAAAGACACCAGAAGGCCTGACACTTGGAAGAATTCCACCAAGCCGGGAAATCAACTGAAAGATTCCTTCAACGGCTAGAAGTCTTGAACGGAAAAGCTACAGTGCGCGCATTAAATTCTCATTTAATGCTCCCCATACTCCGTAGAGTAATTGCAGATGATTGGTCGCAATGTCAGTGTAAGGAATAATTGTATTTAGATTTTGATGATGCTATATTAATTAGGACTTTAGAGTACCCATGTTAGAAATTATGTATTAGAATTTTCCCTTGTAAAGTTCTTAGCATAATCGACTACCAGAAGGCCCCTCTACCAGAAGACCTCCGGACAGAAGATTTTGGTTCTCTGTCTAGGAACAGAAAACCTCAGGGTCTCTGTTACCCTTTAGCTTGACAGAAACCCTCTTGGTTCTCTGTAAGCTACTATCAACAGAAGTGCTCAAGATCTTCTCTGATCAGTTCTCTGCCAAAGACACCAGAAGGTCTAACACTTGGAAGAAATCCACAAAGCCGGGAAGTCAACTAAAAGATTCCCTCAACGTCTAGGAGTATGAAACGGAAAAGCTACAGTGCTCGCATTAAATGCTCATTTAATGCTCCCCATGCTCCGTGGAGTAATTGCAGATGATTGGCCGCAATGTCAGGATTACTTTATCCCAAAATAGTAACCCGCCAACTTTACCGGGTCCTACTGGTCAAGTCAACTGCTCGCGCATTAAATGCAGTTGTCCTCCTACTCCTCCAACGGGAAGACAACCTCAGTATAAAAGATACACTACGAAGAACAACCAAGAAGAACTTTGCAACTTTTGCTAACCACTGCTACAACTCTTCATACAAGATATTCAAACTCTGAAAAGCAAAAAGCCTCCTTGAGATTCAAACTCATTATCTTCTACAAGAGAAGGCAGAAGTTGGAAAAATACTTTTTCCAACTCAAGCAAAGTTCCAAGTGTTCTTCAACTCTTCAAGCTCATCACATACAAATCTTTTGTAACGAAGCTAGTTGGAGGAACCCCTGTTTCAACAGAAACTCTTCTTGCTACAAGAAGGACGTCCAAGTAACTGGAGTAGTGAAGTGGTGATACTTCCAGGAAGCTCAGTGAAAGGACCAGTCTTAAAGGAAGCCAGGCAGTGCATCCCAGGAGACATCTAGACTTGAAGAAGACGTGGAGAGCTTCTTAAGTGCTAGGACTAAGGCTTTGTAAACGACAGTTTTTACAGCTTAGTGGAACAGTGGACTAGAGGAACAAGTTGTTCCTTGAACCACTATAAAAATCCCTGGTGTCGTTTACTTACTGCTTTAATACTTGCACTTAGATAGAACTGTCTAACTCCTTGGACTTGGTATCTGTGTTCAGCAGAACTTGTTCTACGAGTTAACAGAAGGCCTACTGCCTTTGCTTCTCTGAGGCTAAATCAACAGAACTCCCTACCAGAACCCCATCCGCTGCCAGTCTGTTCTGTCATCAGAACAGGCTATTCTGTAAAATCTGGTACTTAGTTTAAAAAGCTAAAAACCAATACAGTCTATTCACCCCCCTCTAGACTGTATCCAGTATAACCGGGACCAACAAGTGGTATCAGAGCCTCCTTGTTCTAATAATCTCTTAGGTTATTTGTTGAACAAAGATCCACTTGTTTTTCTGTTTTACCTCATTTCTATCTGAGATAATGGATCACTCCTTGTCCAAGATAAAGGTTCAACAGAAACCCTTTTTGAAAAATAATGAACCTGGCAGAAAACCTAATAACAGAAAAGGTTTTCAAGATAACAAAAATAATAGACCATTCATTGACAGACAACCTCATGTCAATCGTGCCAGAAATGATCACCAGAAGGGCAAATATCAAGAGAGAGTTAACTTCAGGCAGAAGAGGTTGGCTGGTCAACTTCAGAAGCCCAAGGTTAACCGTCCCTCTGCTCTTGATAGTATATGGGACTTCTTTCCAACAAAAAAGGCTATGCAAAAGTATGTAAACAGAAAGCATGACCCTCACAAGCATCTGCCCAAAGTGAATCACACTTCAGTTTACTACAACTACCAGGTGGACAATGGGTACCA